GCGTGAACAAGTTGCATATGGGTATGCTTAGCACTTCAGCATAGTTGCGTACGACCACCGGTTTCATGTCTTCGCAGACCGGAGATTTGCCCGCTCTCAGTTTTGAAGGTTTCACAAACACTTGGTTTGACGAAATCTTCACGTTCATCAGCTTTGTATCGAAGTCCTGGGACTTCGTTACATTACTAGATGTCGATAGTGGATGTATTACTGCGCTTAGTTGCTCGTCAAATCGGCTGCTCAACAGTTCCGCTATCTCACTGCTGTTCAAAGGTGGTTCTCCGGTCATTCCCTGAGATCAGGTTTAAAACCTTATTCGTCGGCTTGTGTTATGACATAAACCGATGTAGACTTTTCGGATTGTAACTTTAAACTGTTTAGCCAGATTGATCTGGTATGTATATCTGTCATTACGAATTCTTATATTACATAAGTTGCGTAACGTCTTGTAGCTATGACAGTCTGATTCTTTGAGTAATGTACCTCACCGATACCCTGCCTTCTTTTTCCTCTGTATTTTCCTTTGGGTTGCGCGAGTTACTCAAGACCGTTTGAGAGGTGGTCGTCTGGTTAATTTTGGAACACTCTTATCGATAGCGCCCCGAATAATATCTTTAGTATGTATTCAGTGTTCGTCTATCGACAGTGAGTGCCATTCTTGTGGCCATGCAGCCTCCAGGAATTCGTTATTCATGAGATTGTAGTCTGCTTTTGGTAACGGCAGAACGCTTCTGGCTCAACTATTGGCAGTGTCTCCCTGGTTACCATACTGAATCTCACCAAGGCGTGGTCGCTTTTACCTAAGGGGGGGTTGAACACAGATATCGTCCACCAAAAGATCATTGTCTGTTAGGACGTAGTTGAGCGGTGATCCTTTTCCATCTGGTGTTTTCCCCAACCTTCTCTATCAGTCCTGCTGCCTTAAACGTATTTCGAAGTTTGTGTTCAAAAGATTTATGCACATGTCTTGCTTCACATCTCGGGTTGAGTGCCGGTGTGCTTAATTCTCCAGCTAGGACTACATGGTCATAGGCTGCCGAGGTAGTTGTTGAAATATCACTGAGGAATTGTGCCTTATGTTCTGTCGTGCAAAAGGGAGGCCTATATACCACACCTAATAGGTACTTGGTTTGGTTTATGGTGAAATAGCACCATAAGGAGTCTGGTAGTAAGCCTAAACATACCATCAGTCGCTTCCTTAACTTTTAGGTGAGTGCTGATGCACATGGCGTCTCCTCCGCCCCTCTTGAACTGCCTGTCCTTTCGGAACAACGTCATGTTAGGCAAAGATATTTCAGCTCGGATACAGATGACCCATTTGGCATCTGCCAACTTACACCACCTATGGTGTCGGCGAGTTATCTGGCTATCTATCAAAGGATGAGTATACTTCACAACAGTTTGTTACATCCTGTTAAACGATAAAACATGACAGTTGAAAGTAGACGATGTGATCATAGGTATCTTTGTAGCAGTGGGTGAGTTTGGTAGAATCACTGTGTGAGGAATGTTGAGGTCAGGCGAAGCGTACTAGGCAAGACAGCCACATCAGTTGATGACATTGTGAAGTTTAGTCGACTGAGATGGCTTCGATATATCCTGTCTCACCACTTTGTATTGAGTTTCTCTTCAAAATTGCTGACTGTACATCTCATGACTGAGAATTCTCCTTAGACATCTTTTTAATCTCCAGTGACGTTTTATGAAATGTTTCCCAACTAAAGAAATGTTTGGATATCATAACTACCAGAAATAGCCTTCATGCTGAATACAGGTGGATATATGCTTTATGACATTATGACGAGAAACATATCCTTTAGTGAGTGAGATGTAAACTTAAATCTGAAAATCAATAAATAAATAATCGGCCAGCAAGAGCATAAACACTAAAATACACCCCTTTAGATCTTCTAAAGCTTGAAGATTCACACTAACCGTTATTTTCAGATTGTTTATTCTCTTACACTACTTTGCGTACTTTGATA